GTCAGCGGCAAGTCAGCAGGTGGGGCGGCAACACAAGGAGGTGCCAAACGCAGGGACGGCAAAGTAGGCTCCGACCGCTCCAGTCCCATCACCGTCAACCAGACGGATAAAGAAAAGGTGGCTGTGTCAGAGCAAGACACATCAGCGGGAATGTCCACCTCTCCCAAGTCCAGCCCCACCTCCAGCTCAGCGAGCCAATCGGGCCTCAGGCAGCCAGGCTCCAAATACCCAGACATCGCTTCTCCCACCTTCCGCAGGTCAGATACACAACACAGGCCTTTTCTGCTCCTGCTGTGTCTTTGTTCCTCATTTTGTGTGCTTCTCTGTGAATCAGTCATTTCACGACATTCTTTTTAGTTAAGTGATTGCTAGCTTTGACAGGAAAATAAGCACAAGGTAGCAAGCTTAGCTCTTTTTTAAAGAAAACATCAGATGCCCTTTAAGACACCTGGAGTGTGAATTTACCTTTGTAACAGATGTCTTTGATGCTCAGTAATGTTTCCACACACAGGCTGCCATGCTTTTAAAGTCAGTAGGAACATTTGCTGCAGAGATAATGGTAAAATTTCTTCATAACAATCTCAATCAACCCTGCTCATTTATTTGGATGCACCAGATGAATATAAAACTTTATTATGTGTTAGTCAGTGAGCCTGACTTTACAGTTGAAGGGTGACATTTCACATATTCACATAGGTGCTGAGCCACTGCAGATAAAACATTTCTTTGCTTGGAAGATAAAGCTTTGATGGCTTCTGATTGAGAATCAGATCAAATTAATCCATCTCGGCGGTCTTGATCAGAGCCGACAGGTGACAGGAAGTTTCTCGCCAGTCAGTTCCTGATTCAAAGCTCTCATTCAGCAGTCGCATCCAAATCTACGTCCCATCCCATTTGTCAAGCCAGCTAGTTTCATCTGCATGTCTTCTGTACCTACCTCAGTAAAGTGTCGCCTATATTTTTTTAGTTTCGCAATGATAGACTGGAGCAGAAACGAGCAGAACAAGTCAAGCTGTCTCAACATATGTGGGAGGCAGACAAGGTTGAGTGGTCAAAGAAATGAGGTTGTTTAAAATCACAGGGGCGAGACTGGCAAAGCTGTGAGAACAGATGTGTGGATGCAAATCACTTGAATTTCAAACCTACAATAAGGGGAAGCTTGCTGTGAGGAATGAATGTCTTGTGCTCAGTATTTTGTCTTTCTAAAGAGCGGGCATTGCATTGGATGATGTGGATGTTTTTAGAGGCTTTTTTATGTTCAAAAGATCTCTATGACCAGTTCAGTGACACACAGGAAACACAATGAGGTGACGCCAGTGAATTCGCAAAGTAAAGCTCACAGATGCTCACCACTTGTCCCTTGAGCATTTCGAAATTACTGCACCCACCTCTCTACCCCCAGATTGTTTGGCACCAAAGCCAGCAGCAAGGCCAGCTCTCCGGGCACGCCCGACTCTGGCAAGTGCCCGTCAATACTGGGTAGCCCCCACGGGACACTGGCCAGGCAGGCCAGCCTGGACTCCCCCTCCTCGGGCACAGGGAGCCTGGGCAGCGCTGGCGGCCTGAGTGGTGGTAGCAGTCCTCTGTACGGCAAAACCCCAGACCTGTGCACCGACTCGCTGGCGTCCAGCCCGGCCTCCGGCCTCTCCCTGCCCTCCAATGCTCGGCCCTGGCCGGCCTGTAGCTCCTCAGCCGGCAGCAAGGACACGCTGAGCTGCCAGAGCATGACCAGTCTGCACACCAGCTCTGAGTCCATAGACATGCCTCTGGGCCACCACGGGCCCAAAGTTACACGAACCGGCAGTGTCAAGTCCACCCTGTCTGAGGGGTGAGTAAGAGGGAATATGATTTGGAAGAATCGTATTCATTGTTTCATTTGAGAATAGAGACAACAGTGGTTCTTCTCCACCAGAGCATATGGAAAAACAGTGCAAGAAAGTCTAAGTAGTCTAATAATACCTGATGATAATCAAGCTTTTTCTGACTTGGCTTTGGAAATGCTAATAACAATTCACAAATTGTTCTAGAGATATGGCAGAAGAATATCACGACATATTGAGACCATTTCAGCACATGAGAAGTCTATATCAGTGTGTCCATTGTTTTGTCCTCACACTGTGCATGCGATACATCACAGAGCGTAGCCTGAGGGTTCTCATTTATTTCCCTTTATTAGTGCAGCCATAAGTCTCAAAAATGAAACAATCAGCCTGAAACACTACCTGTATTTTCTATTTGTTGTCAGCTGAACTGAGATGTAAATGTACCGTGTTAATGTTCTCTTCATTTGTGTGTCTTTGTGTCAAAGTTGTTGTTAATTTTGTAAAGCGTGTTATTTCCTGGTGTTCATCTAATCATTTCATCCTATGTGTCTTAACAGCATGCCTCTTGACAGAAACACGCTCCCCAAAAAGGGACTGAGGTACAACACATTTGCAACAGTAATAGAAAATAAGTGTGTATGTGCATGAAAGCAATCACTCTGATGTGAAGCACACTTTCTGCCTCGCATGGTGCATAATCTATACGTGGCCAAAAAAAAGCTTTTTTGGCACTGCTCTATGGTGTGTAAAAAGAATACAGGCAAACTAAACAAATTTGAAATGGAAACAGGTACTCTTATATAGACCTAAAACAATAACAAATATTAGAATGACTTCAATTTATCAAGTCAAAATCTATGTCAAATATTAGTAGAAGGGAAAAAAAGAAAAAATATTCACAGATGATATGGTGACCAGGAGTGTGTTTTCCATCAGTTTACATGTTCATCTCTTTGTGTGCATCCCAATCTTATTCCAGTCCTGTGCGGCACAGAAAATGTTTTAAATCCACCCACAACAATTAAGCAAGTCTCTTACAGTTTCTAAAATTACTGAAACCTCCCAAATGGGGAGGAGTCAGTTTTGATGCTTTGATGATCCCATGTGGTGGTAGAATGGGGCATGCTGGTTTCATCATCAAGAGTTCTGGTGGACTTAAACAAGGATGAAAGAATTTGATCTCATGCTGTAGTGTACGCCTGTTGTTGCCTGTTGGATTTGGCTCTCAAGCATTTTACCATAACATATATTTATATGGCTGTCTGTCCACCTTTAAAATATCCTAAAGGATCCTGTTTTTCAGAATTTGCAGATTTCTTACAAGAGAGGCTCAGATCAATTCTCGCCCTCTTTAATGAAAAACTGTAAATAAATTATTTGTTTGCACAGTGTACACTGGCTTACACCCTGACGCTTGGATATATCATTCAGTTCCATTTCAACTGCAGTGAGGGACGAATAGCATGATGTGACATAATTCCGGGACTTTTTAAATGCCTGAACAACGGCAGCAGGGTCAGATGTGACAAGCGTAGTAATGTGGACGTTGGAGGGAAGATGCTGCTGAAAAGGGTTGAGTGCAAACTCAATTATCATCCTCAGAGGATTAAATGTGGCCGATTGTCATTAGTGAGATAAGGGGTCGTGCTGCTGCTGCCGAGCTACTTTGGAGTTGGGAAGAGACTAGATTAATAGCAATGTGTGTGTGAATGTGTGTGTTGTGTGTTTGTGTGTGTGTGTGTTGGTGTGTGTGTGTGAGAGAGACGAAACTGTTCATGCACAGTTATTCATAAGCTTGCAAAAGTTTGTGCTAACAAAAGTTAATGGCCTGCCCAAACTACTATAGCTTGCATGTAAATATCTCTGCTACTACAATCATTTAACTTTAATTAACAGGAACAAACTTTAACAAAGTGCATGTGATGATTTTCAAATGCATTTTGGAGATCATCACATGCACTTTCTTAAACTCTGTCAGTGTCTCTGACCACAACTGGTTCCTAGTTCTAGGACTTGTTCAGCTGTCCTTAGAAAAAAACTGGTGCTCCAAATTTTAAGAGTTTATAAGATTTCAAACCTATAAAAGCCAGAAGCAAACATAGGCTCAGCCAGGAACTCATTTAAGTACTATCCCACCTCATAACTGTAACTTGTTTTAAACAAAACAAGTTACAGTTCCACATGCAGTTGCTTTCACAACCATTAGATATAACACATTTATTATTAATTATTTTCAATATGATCTATGAGGTAATCCATGTTTGACACCAAAGAGGCAGGTTCAGAACACTCCTGACAGCCTCATTTTCTCAAATATGTGTTGGTCATTCTTAGCTACGGTATATGTTTTTTTTGGGTTGCTGTTCACAGTAATGGAAATGTTTTTCTCTCTTAACTTTTGCATGGCATTCTGTGTTCAACGATGCACCAGTGTGTAACGGTTGCATGTTTTTTTGTGCCATCTTCTCAAGTGTATGCAGCATCACAGAACCTCATCACTTAAACCTTTGAATATAACTCTCCTGCGCTGAGTTCATAGTGTGCTTGTGGGTTTCAGATACCCGCCATCATCCCGCCAGACATCCCATGAAGAGGGCAAGGAGTGGTTGAGATCACATTCTACAGGAGGCCTCCAGGATACTGGTAGCCAGTCACCCCTGTCTCCCCCAGGAGCTTCATGCACCACCACTGGAAAATACCACTACTCTAACTTATGTCAGTGGATGATATCTAACTAAATCGGTTTATTAATGTCATCATTGATTATGTTCTTATCAAGATATGGTCGTCAGTATATGTTACTGATGTACTGATAGCTTCTTTTCTTCTGTACAGTGAGCCCGACCACCATCGGCCAGTACAGCCTGACCCCGGGCAGCAGCAGCATGAGCCGCTCCAACAGCATCCCTGCCCAGGACTCCTTCGACCTGTACGGGGAGGGTCACCCACTGGGGGGCAGTGCAACTTCCTTGGAGGAGCGACCTCGGGCCATCAGCCGCTCCGGTTCCTTCAGAGACAGCACCGACGAAGGTAATGCAGGCTGGTTTTGTTTTTTATAAATGATCACAGACAATTACATACCAGAAATCACTATTTTCTGAGTGAAGTCTTTAATTACAGCCAAAAAGATTATACTTTTGCGAACTATTTTCCAACTTATTCAACTTGCATCATCTGTATAATTTACTTCAATAGAATCTATTGCCATGATAATATTATAAGAAAAAACACTTTGTATTTTGAAATACTACATGAAAATCCAGTTTGACTGTTTGTATACCGTGTTTCCCTCTCTCACAGTCCATGGCTCTTCATTGTCTCTGGTATCCAGCACATCCTCACTGTACTCCGCGGTAAGTCAGTTAGAGCCTGGAGGTATGAAAGTGGGATCCATGAACCTCACATACTGAATGTAACAACTGTTTGGTTGGTTGTAATCCAGCTTGACTCATGTTCCATGGAGCTGCCTGTTAAAACTCAGAAGGGGTTTAAAGGGTGGATGGCTTTCTAGTCTAATCTTATTTGGCAGCAAAACAGCTATCCGGAAATCTTCGTTTTCTTGTTTCTTAGCTTTGAGCCAAAATACCAGTATTAATATTTCAAATAGGAAGGTGATGTCATTGACCGGACTCTGGCCTCAAAATTGACTGATCACATTTGAATTATATCAAGTATCAGATATCTTTATTTGAAAATATTTTATTAAAAACCCTGCATTTGGTGTTTCTTTCCCATTTAGTGTTTCTTGATAAGAATCTGGTATCCTGCTTTTGTGAGAATTACTCTCTGGAGGTGCATGCTCCCAAAGTAGGTTCAGTAAATGAAGCTTTGTGTAGATGTAGAGTCCCAACAGCATAGACTGACAACATGTGGAAGGAGGATGTTTTTTCTGATTGAAAAAAATGTTTTTTGATAGTGCCTTCTTCATTTCTGAAGATATATTTGAACAAATTCTTATAATCTTTGGTTGAACGGTCACTATAATTTTTCTCATCTGCAGCATTAAAATGCCTCTCGGGCTCTTGACTGTCATACATTTTTAAAAGCTATGTGACTGAACACCACTCACAGATCCAATAAACAAATGTCTCTCTCTTCCAGACTGAGGAAAAAGCTCATTCAGAGGTAAGGATGAGTAAACCTGTCTCCATTGTCCGTTTGCATGCTTCTTTTGGCATGTTTCTGCTTCACATTCATACAGATGAGAAAGTACTGATAACATGTGCGCGTATGATGCTGCTCAGTCTGGCCACCTAGCAGCTTAGCTTAGCTGTGTACCTGCTGGATTCCATCTGTGTGCCACGTACAGTTTACTGCCACATGTCAAAGGCTCATTTTGCTCTTCTTTGGGTTCTGGAGGCTTTTTGTTTGCCTGTTTTTCAGCATCTGCATGTTTCCCTGTGAACAGATACCCCCTGTCTGTGTCAGTCAAAGCTTGCACTTCTAGTTATAATATTTCCCAAAGTTAACTAAGCAAAAAAACTTTTTACTGTGTTGAAGTCCACATATGAAGCAGTTTAACTCTGTGTTGCATTGCTTTGTTTCATCAAATTTGAATTTACTCAATAACGTGACATCATTGTTTTCAAACAAACTTCAGTTGAAAATTCCACTTTATGGATTTTGTGCATGCCCCATCTTCCATTGACATTTTGGGTTTGTTCAGTTTATCACTGATCCAGTTTTCTAGAAAACACATTTTTAAAACTTTTAAATGCATTTCTCTAATTCTGCTAATCTGCTCTTTGAGGTCAATATTGGGTCAAACAGTAATGGCAGATACATCTTTGTATATAACCCTACCTGATAAATTGAGTTTTGGATTTTTTGCACAGTCCAGATTAAAGATGACATTAAATGTCATGTATGCGATGTGTTAAATGCCTTAAAGATTAAGGAAGAGGTCAGAGAGTCACAGAGAGGAATCTTACTGGTAAAACTGTAAAGGAACGTCAGCCTGCCAACTTGGATAAAGTGCAAATAAAAAGAGCATGAAATGAGTCATGAAAATGAAGCAGTAATGAAGTGTGGGCCTCTTTAGCGCATCCTCAGTCAATTTCTGTGACTTATCCCAATTTCCTGTGCTGTCCTCTCAGCTAAACTGTAAATTGTGGATCTTTGCTCATTCTAAAATGAATATTTTTCTGTATTTGAAAATACTATTTGACCCAGGTCTAAAAGCCTCGCCCGTCTCTCTCTGCTTGCTGCTCATAGTCTAACTTTGAGAAAAACCAGTTCTGTGACTTGCAAAGCTCCGTCTCTCCAGCCACATCAGTTCATTCTGTTTGATGCGAGCATGCAACATAGTGTTAATTTTGACTCTTTTCTTTTCAATCAAGGGCCAAACAGTCCAAAATTCCACGGTAATTCCCCAACACTTTATGTTCACACCTCACTCCACTATCTTCTTTAAACTGTTTACCATGTAACTGCCCAGTTTCATCAAAGTTGTCAGCATGGGAGATGAAAGCGTGGCGTCTATGTACATGACAGTCACTTATCTCTGCCCTCTCGTTCCTCATCAGCAAATCAGAAAGCTGCGTCGGGAGTTGGATGCATCTCAAGAGAAGGTGGCTACCCTCACATCTCAGCTGGCTGCTAATGTGAGTTTTTTCATTTTCATTTTATTTAAAATCTTTATTTAAAATCTTTTCAACACTTCACGATTCTTTCCCCCTTTGGCCAAAGCCATAATATCACTTTAGCTGCACAGTTGTTGTTTTTTCTCTTGTTTGTGTTGATTGGGCAGTGAGGATTGTCTCCTTCATATTTCAACAAGCACTTTAGTCTCTGCCGAATTCATTGAAGCAGAGGGACTCAAATAGATACAGACAGATGAGGAGGAAGAGCAGGGAGACATGAAGATAAGTGAACGTGGTGGCTTTTACGTCATGCACAAGCGAAGCAGAGGGAGATACAAAGACCTCCAACCCCTCAGCAAAGCCTCTCGGCTGGGCAGGAGAACTATTCACCCCCAGAGTGTGATCAAGCATTGGAACAGACGGGCTTTCAGTCTGATGCTTTGATTCCACAGTTGAGTAAAGCTGACACGGAACTGAACCCATGTTGAGAAATTAAAAAAATACTTTAGCATTGCAAAAACATTTTACCCCTTTTGGTAATATAAAAGAGATAGCAGCAAGTATTTAATTGAAACGTGTTTTTCCAGAGAATGCAGGTTCCTGAACACAACCATAACAGTGACAAAGTTCAATAATAATGTGATCAAAGTGAAAAATATCAGAACGTTTAGACATTAGAAAATAGAAATGTATTAGTCCGATCAAAACTGTGCCTTTTCGTCTGATCAAAACACTGAAAGCTCTCACAGCTAACTAACATATTCAGATAATGGGAGTGGGGATCGGGGTTACTCCTGCTTAAGGTTTCTCAGATAAAATTACCTCAGTGCTCCACAAACTATGTTTAATGAGCTGACACATTTGAACTTCATCTGAAAAAACTCCCATTGAATTAATCAAGATCTTTCCTCCCCACATTCATCCCAATCCATAATAAAGCTTTAACTAAATGAGCTACATCAATATTTATTTTCCTTCTGGGATAAATAAAGCATTTTTTAGTTGAATTTAATTTAATCAAAAGTCAACATCTGTGCTGTGAATTCATAAAGACAAAATCAATATTAACATGTAAGACCTGGAAGAGAAAACATAATCTGTTTGACTTTAAATTAGCTTCAAGCAATATGCTATTATATTTTTATGGACAGTTTCACTGTGAATTATAAAGCGTGTCTTTTTTTTGTTGTTGCTTATATTACATAGCATAGCATAACTTGTGAAATAAAACACCAAAGTTATCTATTTAACTTTTATCTATTTAAAAAACTTACATTATATTTTCTGCTAATCCTGACAAGCCTTCTACTCTTCGGATTTACATCCGAACAGCCAAATGTAAACATGTAAAATGTCCCATGAAGATCTAAATCTTGTGGGATTAAGGAAAAAAAGAGCACACACATCTCTGCTCTGTTATTCTGGAGCTGCTTTTGTGGGCTCTTTGTACCTTAAGCTCGTCTTATCCTCCCCATGTGACTGGAAATATCAGCCTCAGCAGCTCTCAGAAGCTGTCCACCTACAGGCCCCAACTCAGCCAGGTGTGAGCTCTTTCCTCTTTTCTCTTTGCCACACCACAGAGATATTTGAACACTGAAATGTGTAGTTTTCTGTTGTTTTTAGTTTCTGTTATATCTCAACCACCTGCTGAAACTAGATTCTGAATTCTGCCTGGAATTTCCTCTTATTAAAACAGTATACTACCATGAGAATATGAAAAAGAAAAATGTAAAAATTTAATGTGGATCTTGTAAAATACTCATATTTCAGTGATGTAATGGGAAAATTGTCAGATTACAGACCATTTATACAACACAATATATCATTGGATTACACTTGATCACATAAAGGGAGCCTGTTTCCAAAATGTTTTATATGGACAACACCAGACTGTGTGGTAGCATATGTTGTGTATGCTTTCCAGAAAGGAAGGATTCATATTTATTGATATGCATTTGGGATTCAATGCTTCAGTGATTTGATGCCAAACCAGTTTCCTGTGGAAATGTGTAGTAAATGACTTCACTACTTGACATGTAGCTTGAATACGCTGAGCTGGTAACACTTTGATTTCTTTTAAAGGGAAATAAAACCCAAAGTGACAACCGCAAAAAATAACAGAAGCTAAAGTTGCGGTGCAAGAGTTTGAGAAATATTAAACCAATACAAAATGCAACTGAGAAAAGAAGTTTAGACACAGTGGCAGAAAAAAGCCTATTAAACCATAAAACCAATGCAGAAATATGGAAATGGGAAAGACTTTTTACAAATAGATGGCTGGAATATTTCCACTTTCTCATTTGATATTTCCACATTTTTTGTCCTTGTTTCAATGTGTAACATTACCGTAACGCCTTTAAAGATTTATTCCTCTTTCTGTCACTCCTTTTATTCCTTTGGCAGGCAGTGTTGCCTTCCTTAAATGGAGTTCTCTGTTTAACCTATTGTCAACCTATACCCTGACCTAAAGATCAGAGCAAGGGTCTAAAAAAGTGCCAGGGTTTTCAGGTGAGGGACACATGATTAGGACAGATGGCACCTCACTGGGTGCATCAGAGTCTGGTCAGCGCCCCCTTCAGAGTGGACAGGTGGGATGGGGGGGAGAGGAGTTGGAGCTCACAGGTGGAGCTGGAATGAGATGTAGAGCTGGAATGCTTGACGAGTTGGCATTTTTTAAAGGTCGAGACCTACGCCGTTTTATCCGGGGACGCAGAGTGGAAGTGGCAGCACAGGATGCAGCAGCGTGCGTGTGTGTTTTTCTGGACCTGCACGTCCCCACGGCGACAGCAAAATGGGGCGATTTTTATTTTTATAGGTCACGTTTTTTTATTTGCCTCGACAAATTACGCTTAAGTCACCAAATGAAAATTCTTAAAAACATCATTTTGTAAGCGTATGCAGATTGTGTTTGTGTGTGTGTGTGTACAGGCAGAGAGTGTTTGATCTGTCTGGGCATGCTGCCCGCCTCTCTGTGACACACACACACTTGACAGGTGTCTTGGGGTCTGTGGCTAAAGATGGCAGTGTGAGTCGCGCCCACCAAAGCCCCATACATACAGATTAGTACCCACACAAGACAATTTCAGTCTTAAACGTCTGGGTTTTGAAGGCATCCCGACAGAAACATACTTTCGAAAAAATGAATGCACAACAAATTCTTCACAAACAGAATCCCCAGCGGAGCAGATGGTGTGACGCTGCTAAACAGTTGCCATCCTCTAACGCGTTGCCTCTGCACCCTCGGGTGACAGATGCATTCAGGGAGGGCAGCGGATCGCCGACATGCCTGCCACACCTTTTTTCTCTGATTTCCCACAGTCTTTACGCTGTTTGTTCAGAGCGCTGTCTCAGAGGCACGCTCGCCTCCACGCCGATTAAATCGCAACAAAAAGATGCAACGGCGAGGCCAAATGAAATCCTACCTGCTCAAATCAGGCTGAACACACTTGATGTCAGCATCCCACTCTCAGTGGTTTTCTACATTTCATATGCTAAAAGCAGTATAGGGCTTCTTGAGTCCAGCTCAGTAACACATCAAGCTTCAGTGATTAAAGAAGCTTCCACTTCAAAGCTATCACCAGCAAACTGACTCATTAAGAACATCCATTCCTCAAGGGAGAGGTTGTCTCAAAGAATAAAAGTGGGGGTGCAGATAAGTGATGATAGATAGCTTTTGTAACTGCAATGACTGAGCTGAACCTAGACCAAAGTCATCTTGGATTCAGTCGTGCGACGTGGATGTAGATGAAACGAGAATGTTTTATCTCGTCTCTGTTCCGTTAAAGAATGAAAGCTAACCCTTCAGCCGCAGCTTAGCTCTGTTTTTTCTGCTCTTGTTTCTTGCAGTCCCACCTGGTCGCAGCCTTTGAGAAGAGCCTGAGTAACATGACCTGCCGCCTGCAGAGCCTCACCATGACCGCCGAGCAAAAGGTGCACAAGTTCACCCGGGAATTTCAAATACCGTGCACATGAGATGATAAATGGCTGCCTGTGAGACCTCGAAACAGTTCAGCAAAGTTAACAATAAGAAGGACTAGGACTTTTAGTTACCACACCTTTTCTAACTAGGAGTTTTTTGTTAGAGGTTTCTCTTTGTTGCTATAGCATTATCTCTAACATGACTCAGTTTCATAAATTACAGACAAATTTTGCTTCACAGGCATATAAAAGAAGCTGTGCTAGAGTTGAAGAAATGTCACGTTTCCTCTCCGTAACTCCCCCAGATTTCTTCTGCTACCTGGATGGTTTAAAGAAGCACCAACACACTATCTCAAATCATGA